TTAAAAAACACAGATTTTTTAAAGTAAATTGACTTTTAGTCAAACTGACGTGTAATTCACTTTATACAATGGATCATATAAACATTTCCGAACATGAGTGCAAGTTTTCTGCACGATGTTTTCATTTATCATCACTCGTCAAACTAGAACCAATTAGCAATAAAATGTGATCTAATAAACAATCTAAAAATTATGTAACTAAGAATGATTTCATAAGTGACGCACGGTAGTATAGTCCGGTCCGCGCATGCATGTCCTTGAGGTGCGGGAGTTATCTCTACGCAGCCACAGGCTGCGGTACAACAACTAGCTCACACAACCTGTTGCCGCCTCCACTATAAAGAACTACATGGAGATGATAATGCGTCGAATTAAACTTCGTTGCGTAAAGAGTCGCTCTCCTTAGTTTGAGCCATAGTTCCTACCGCCGATCCCACATGGATCAACACCTTTGCTTAGTGACGTTATATTTTATATTTGAATTTGAATCTCAAAAAAAGAACTTATTCTAGAAGTATTGCACTGCTTAGTTGCTAAACAGATAGATTTGTGTTACCATTGTATGTTTAATACTTCTGTATTTTCATTAAACTGTTTTTTAAGGTGTGCTTCTGAATAAATGTCATATTATTATTATTATTATTATTATTTTGGATATCTATTTTAGACTCTCATCTCTCCAGTGGTCTAAAATATTAATTTTGAATTATCTTTATATACGATATTATGCATAAAGAGACTCCACGACTGCACTCACTGGCTTCCCTATGACAACAGATGAAAGAAAATCGTCAATAAAGTCTCGAAAACATTTCGGGGACATGTCCTTCAGCAATGAAGAAAACGACTAAGAAGACTACATTAAGTATAAACAGCCTGCTGTCTAGTGTCAATTTTATCACAGTTATAACGTTCAATTTTATTAGTAATAACAGCTCTATGCATATTTGTTCTAGAATAACTACATTTAATGCATTTTTTTATGCAGTTGTGTAGACTCTTTAATAAACTGGATATAAGCTGAGGAGCTGTTTATTTCTATATTATTATTATGATCATGAGAGGATCAAGTGAAACTCGTCGAATACTTAAACGTTAATTGATTGATAATCCACAACCACCTGTGCAGATTTTATATTTTATTTAGATATGTTTTCGTTAAACTTGTTAATATGGAGTATTTGCTTATTAATATTTTATTTAAAATCTGCAAGACTAAGTTCTTCATTGGGGCTAACCGAATTGCGTTAAATAAAATTTTTATTTTTTTGGTTTCGGCTCATCTCGAAAGACCCATACGCTCAATTGCTGCTTTATTTTGGGATCGTAACAATAAATCCATGTGTCGTCACCTGTTACTATGTCCCACACCAAATTTAACGCTCCTACGTTGAATCTGGTAAGCATGGCAACATGCAAATGGTGCAACCAAGTGACGCGATCTGTTTTTTGAGCCTCAGTCAAATTGTGTAGTATCCACCGAGAGCACACTCAAATGTTTGTGTAGTATTGATTGTATTTGACTCATGCTTATACCTAGAGATGCCCGCATCCCGTGGTACGTCACATACATGTCTGTTTTGATCATACGGTGCATAGCATCGGTGTTTTTGTTGTTTACAGCAGTGGATGGGCGACCATTACGAAATTCGTCACTGAGATTCACACGACCGCGTTTGAATTCTGCAAAATAGCTATAAATAGTCATCTTGCACGGTGCTTCATCGCCAAAAGCAGTTTTAAGCTGAGCGAAGTTCCGCTGAGCTGTTAAATTACACTAAAAGTCGTAGAAAATCATACTACGAAAATTTTCACGAGTTAAATCCATGGTGATGTAGACAACCAATTTCTAAAATGACGCCACAATATAAAAACAAGTGACAGTCAGATGAAACAAATGGAACTCTTTGGCTGTACCGGAAACTGATAGTGCGCCCTATGCATATGATATTGCATAGTTACAGCCAGAATTTTTATCTCTCTTACGTGCACATATGGCTGTGACTATGGCTGTGAATACGGTTTGTAGTGCAAGAACTAGAATTCAAATACAAAGATCGAACACAAAGAAAAATGCCTGACAGGACCATCAACAAAAAATCTGCAACAAACGCGTAGAAAAATGCGTAAGGTCTACTGGCTAGATCTGTAGTAGCTCCGTTGGTAGAGCGATAACAGACACGGATTCGTGTCCTGTCAGATACAAGGATTTTTTCTTTGTGTTCGATCTTTACATTAATAATTATAACAAAGTGTAAATTATAAATATTTTGGTAGTAAAACATAATTTTCATTACAATCAATATTACAATAGTTGTTACAATGGCTATTATGTGAGAATTTTGGAAGTAGATTATTATTAGATTTGGTAAGTAGATTAGATTTTTTTCTGTGTCGAGGTATCATGGACATACACATCGATAACATAAATTACACCCAAATTTACGAGAAAATAAATGTAAGCGTAGGTCCTCTGCGTGGCAGTCCGGCATGGTAACCGTTCGGTTACGGAGGTAGTTGCAGCAGACAATGGCTGTTAGGTAAGGATTTTGGACGTAGAGTTTAACAACAATCCCCATCTTATTACTACAGACTTTCGTCAGACCTCAAAAAATAATTAGGAAATAATATTTTCATGCAATTGAACGACAATCCTGATTTATAGCGTAGAACACACTAAAATTCAAGCAAAATATTTTTATTTTTGCTTAGTATTGAAAGGAGAATGTCTAAGAATGCTAAACTTGGATAAGGCTATTCTGACTTTATTAAAGAATATGAGAATCTTGGGCATTTGACTGAAGTCTCGGAGGCTGAATTAGGCAGTCAGTTTCTGCCACATCATGCGGTACATAGAGAACAAAGTGAAACTACCAAACTAAGAGTGTTTGTGACGCGTCTGCCAAAACAACGTTAGGAAAGGCATTGAACGATATACAGTATGTTGGGCCTGTAGTGCAAGACGACTTACTGTCTAATAAAGGTTCAGGCAGCATAAATATATAGTTACAGCGGATATAGAGAAGATGTATAGGCAGATCCTAGTAGAGCCCAGCCAACGCAAATATCAGCAGATTCTTTGGAGACATCAAGAGTTTGAAAATATACGCAATCAATTTTGGCCCGTAAGCGGTAGAAGTTTGGCTAGGAGCACCGTGAATAAGTGTAAGATCTGCTGGATCATGAAAGTAAAAAATATAAATCCTATTGTGGGAAACTTACCTGTGTCTAGGGTAACTATATAGGGTAACTATGTGCCTGACCCAAATCTGAAGCAGCCTTTTTTATTCTCGAGGCTCTACCTCCTCGAGGAGGGGCAGTATGTTAGCGCCTCCTTGGACGCTGTGGCTGCTGGCTACGATGGCTTGACGTTTATTATTATTGATTTTATTTTGTTCTAAAGAAAAATGTCATATTTTATTTTCTCATTGTTGTATAGAATTCTTAAAAAAAACCTTCTGGTTTACACTAATAATGGAGTCTTATTTATCGGCGTTAACAATTTCGGCCTTAATGAAATGGGACTGTTTAGAATATGTCAACCGCATGCACGCTACAAATAGATGGGTCCAATTATAACAAAGCGACAATTGCCTCCGTCGAGGTATATACTCTGCAAAAAGTGATGTAACAACTTAGACAGCTTTAAAGCAAAATTCGTTTGTGATTAGAGGCGAGAAGCTTTTGCTCAACAGTTAAACATGATCACTTATTGAAAATAATTAATTGAAGTATTTTTAGGTGACCGTAAATACTGAGAAGTTACTTTTGTTAAATTGGGCAGTGTAGTACCTTTTGAACCTTTGATATAAAACTTTGGATCGTCAGTAAAAAAAGGTCTTTAAAATTCAGCGAAATGGCCTCGTAATTGTAAAAATGAGAAATTTGGCATTCATAAATGGCAATATGAATTTAGAATAACATTAATAATAAGATTCGAATTATTTTAACATATTAGAAATAAATAATTCCGAAGTATGCCGCTAGATGTCGTATGCTTCGACGAAACTGTTTATAAAATAATTTTAAATGTAAAGACAATATTGTAATTAAACAGAATGATTGAGTATTAATAAATGGCAATATGAATTTAGAATAACATTAATAATTAAATGCCAATTGCTTTATCAAGATTACTTTTTGGATGGTTACTAACAACAATACTTAATAGTTTCATCCTATTATCAAATTATAATTAAACATAGTTAAGAAAATCTATAAGTAACAGAGGGTTATCATTATTCTATCATGAAACAATTACCAATTGACAGTAAAATACTTTAAGCTATTCTAACAATTCTTGCATTCAGTAGGAATCAGGATCTTGCGCCGACTAATATATTTCAATTGGCACTTTAAATGTATAAACTATTTTATTTTCATAATATACAGGTAATGTACAATAAAAGCTTAAATACTAAAAAGTAAAACTATGATTAAATTATATGAATAAAATTGGGTCCCCGCGGCAAGGTGCCCAAGATGCTAGCAGCGATCCCCCTTTGTATGGCTATATTAATGCGTTGAGCAAGGTAGCTGCCGACCCTTGGGTTTCCCAGACAGTTCATTAATTTTTTGGATAAAAATTTGTACAGATATACAAAATGTTATCCTTTTGATTTGATTTTTCCAATATATTTGTATTTCCAATATCGCGGATCCACGACCCTCTGCTTGGAAGGCAGTAAGTCAAACCATTACATATTACCACGGATTATTGCGTATAATTATTAGAAGAAACACTCTGAATAATATGTAACACACAGTAGGTACAGGCTAGAGAGTGACATGAAGGTTGGTTTTTGGTATTACACATTTTAGGGGATGTTTACTAATGGTGCGTAATCGGACATTAAGAATATTAACCTCGCGATAAAAATAAGTTGCCTAAATATTGAGGCTTTTCTTAGAACCTTAAATAATCTTATAAGTTGAAATATTTTGTCTTTTAACCAAGTTAGGGACACAAGAAACAAAAAAATAAAACGACTCTTTTTGTCTCTATATAAACACTTTATTATTAATTCAGAATAAACAAATGACAGCCGTACTTGATTTCATATTTGTTATTGACTGGCAATTAAAACTTTTTAATATTTTTATCGACGAAAGAAGGGCCAAGTAGTGTAGGCAGCTGGCAGAGCTGCAGCATATGCAGATGTTAAGGGCAGCGCAGTGTACGGTGACGATATTGCTGGCAGGGCAGTGTACGGTGTCGCTACAGCTGGCAAGGCTGTGTATGAAGCAAGTGGTGGTGTCAAGGGTAAAGTATAATCTGACACGACAGCTGATTGGTAGGCATAGGAAGAGGAATAAGGGTAGGGTACTAGCGCAGGGTAAATTAAAGGATCTGCAATCACACAGCCCAGAAGCGCCGCCACTACCTGTGTAAAAAAGTATTCGTTGTAATTTTGTAGTAATAATAATATTTATAGGAAATTAAACAATTTTTTTTCGGCTGACATCAATCAACAGTGTCCAAGGGGGCCTGTAAATAGCCCGAAACATTAATATGTCTATAAAAACTAATACCTATTTGAGATTTAGATCAGAATAGTTACATTTCCTTATGTAAAAATCGCGAAAACGGTAAGAAGTCAATAATAATGTTATTATTTACTACAAAGTTATGTTGCCATTATACCACTTAAACATTTTACTATTTTATTTCGTCAATTTACTTTAACGTTGTCGTAGTTGATACCTAATTATTACGTGTACTAAAAAACATCGTCCACATTTGCTTACAATGATATTATATTTGTTTAACACAAGTAGTGTTTGTAGGCGCAGAACATTTACATACTTGCTCTACATTTTTAAATGCCAAAGTATCGGTTTGTTTCCAAAATTAATTAAATACTATGCATTTCGTAAAACAAGTTTTACATCGCGATTACTAGACGTTTGGCATTAATCAGATATAAATAGAAAATAAACTATGCACGGAACTCATTAATTTTTATTATCTTGCAATGAACACATTTAATACTTACCAGTAATGTACCGCCCATATTGCTATTATAAAATATTTGGCTCAGCTCTTCAGTTCGTCCCTGTTTGGAGTACACTGACTGACAGAAACATTCTTTACCTTATATATTTGGACCACTTTAAATGGAAACGAACGCGAATTGAAAAGAAACCTCACTGAATAGTATTGTCAAGGTCTCGCTGAATGTCTAAGTGAAACAAAAGAATGTATTATTGTAGCCAAAGTGGACTAATATTCAAAATATTTTCCCATTAACCTTGCAGATGTTATATCATACAAAAGGTAACATATTCAAAAACTAATAATACTGACTATTCCAGACATTATATTTCCACTTAGTAATATTTTGCATTCAAATGAAAAACAGTAGTTTTTTCAAAAATAATATTTATTAACATTCATTGTACAGAAAGCGTTTATTCTTGTTTGTGTACAATATATTCCATGGCAATTGCTGTTGATTTAGTCACAAAAATAAACAATTATAGAGAGAACTTTTAGGTAGGTATTGTTACGTTGTAATTATAGACTTGAAGACTGAAGAACAAGGATCATTCATTTACGTTTCCACAAATAAGCGTAGCTGGAGGGATAACCGTAGCCACTGGCATAGGTGAGAGGCGTGGAGTAGGCAGAGTATGTCGAGTAGGCGGGGTAGGTTGCAACGGGAGCAGAATATGCCTGATACGCAGCGACACGGGCAACGGGGGCAGAATAGGCAACAGCGGGCGCCGTGTAGGATACGGCGGGAGCACTGTAAGACACAGCTGGTGCGGAGTAGGATACAACTGGAGCACTGTAGGCTACAGGAGAATATCCGAAGGTCAAGCTCGGTTTAGCAGCAGCAATGCCGACCAGAGCGAGGGTAACAAACTGAAAAAAAAAAAAATAATTAGCCTTTATTAGCAATGATATAGCCACGGTGAGGCAATAGACACTGGTTCGAGTCCAGAATATTTCTTTGTGTTTGTTCAATCTTTGTAATATCAACAATAATGACAAAGTAGTGGAGCATTTTCATAAAAACCAATAGAATACCGTGGAGGTGAAACATCCTGGCATTCAATAAGCTGAATTATTTTACATATTTATTTTATCTTGAAATTGTTTTTTTTTAATTTTTTTTTTATTACTGTTTACACACACATACACTTTTTTTGTAGTTGCTGTAGTTACTGTTGGTGTGACTAATCAATAAATTATAATTTTGAGCAATTGATTGAATCTGTTGAGTTTTAAAGATAATTTAGACGATTTATATTAATACATAAAACAAACCAGAAAATAAATAAATTAATAGATAGCTGAGCACTTACCAGCTTGAACATTTTGTGGTACGCTTTCAGACGACGGTAGACTGAATGATGAGCTCCTCATCTTCAGTTACCATTATATACAAGTTTCCTAAAACCGGACTATGGCCTAAATCGGAATTGATCAAAATGTAATAAAATACGCCTTGTTGAAATCCGCTCAAGATCCACATTGCTATATCATGTATGTGGAATGAAATTTAATGGCAAATTCGAATTTGTTCATACATTTAACTCAAGGCTACCTTGGCAAAACTAGTCTATTTAATCACAAATTTGTGTAAAAATTAATGAGGTACGGAAGCTGTCTGTGTTGCAAGACGTATTTTCATATTAGCCACTTGTAATAAATAATGGAAGTAAATTATAATAAATAACCAAGAGAAAATATTATTGTACGGTATATAGAAATTAATGTGCCAAATAATAATAACATGCCAGACAATCACACCGATAATTTGGTCTCAAACTGGCAAATTTCCTGTACTTTGAGTTCCAGAGCAAACTTCTTGGCACTACCCAGACCACCCACCGATTTAGAAAAGTTCATTTCCCAAATAGGACCTACCGGGAATCTGATCTCTTCATCCAACAACGCTCACAGCGCAAAACGTTGAGTCTATGTCTATTTTTATTAAATAATAGAAACAAAGATTGTTATTAAAATACAAATTTAATATATAAAAAAACTTAATTTAATATTAAAAAAACTTTATACCAAGATCAAAAGTATATATAAATATCTTAATTTTCCAAATGGAGAAAAAAAATTAAAAATTCGCCAAATTTTTCTACTTTGGCAACATCAAATGGGCGGAGTCTCCAGAATCAGAGAAGTGCAAAGATTAATGAATTCGTACAAACTACATGTTTATAGTGTACTTTATCAATGTCACCTATATGCGGATGTAAAACGGGTAAATAATTACAATAAATACTCTAATAAAGAACCTCTTTTTGATATTTTGGTTAATAATGTACTTATCGATTACGACGTATAATCAATTTTATTACCTTTACGATGCCGTAATTGGTGTTACGTTCATACATAAATGAAATAATGTATACAATTTTACATTTTGTTCAAAAAAGGAACTTCATAAGTCGGAATTGATACGAGTACGTCGAAAAATATCTATTAGATGTACCATCTCAGTCAGCCGTGACTATGTGACCTGTAAAGGGCTCAAAACGTTGGTATGTTTGAAAAAACAAATATAAGCTATTTAGATCCGAAAAAATAGAACTATTAGATACTCAAGAAAAATAAAAAAGCGGAAAAGTTTGGTATGTATTCAGTTTAATTTTGGCATAGTTACAATAACATGTAAGATTGAACTGAAAGCTTTAAACATATATTAAACACAATAATATCACGATACAGCTTCAATGGAAATAATCATTTGTTTTTTAAAGGTAGTAGGAGTATGGAGAAGCATAGGTGTACGCTGAGTATGCCACTGGGGAGTATGCGCTGTACGCGGAGTACGCGACAGGTGCAGTGTATGCCGCCGCAACTGGAGCAGTATACGCTGCAGCTACTGGTGCGTAACTGACCACCAATGGCTTAGCAGCGGAGAAAGCCAGGAGGGCTGCGAAGACTACCTGTAAAAAAGGAGTGATTTATGTTTTATTGTTTCGAAGGAATTTGTGCCCAGATTTAAGCATGGGCATCGTTAGTTTCCATTTATCTACCGGTTTGTATGACCCGGAGTACGTGTCAAAAAGCTGACGACGTGTGTCTGAAATTTTACTTTAAGAATATTAAGCAAACTGAAAATAACGGGCACCGTTTTTGCTGTAACATATTATTATAATTTTACAAAACTACAAAATTTAATAGATAATCATTGACTTACAATTATATGGTGGTCGGGTCCGCGCTAAAAAGTGTCCGAACTTATAGGGCGTTAAAATCGTATACAGAGCGTCATTCACGCTCTAGTCTTCGTTTGTTCGACTGACAGCGAAGCAAGCAAAATTAGACAGTACTGCGATGACATTACAATTTAAATTCAACGTTTTAGCTTTTTCATATTCCTTTACATGTCACTACGTTTTAAATAGGTTGACTTGGGACATTTTTTTCGTGGTTTTTGTATTAGACCCGTCGTCCATTTATTTGTAAGTCAATATAGATTTAATGATAGAATGATAGAATTTACAAAATTATGACAATTGATCATTGACTTACAATTATATGGACGTCGGGTCCGCGCTAAAAAGTGTCCGCACTTGTAAGGCGCTAAAATCGTATACAGAGCGCGACACTCCGCTTTAGTCTTCATTTGTTCGACTGACAGCGCGATACTGCGATGACATTACAATTTAAATTTCGAATAGGTTGACTTGGGACATTTTTTTCGTGGTTTTTGTATTAGACCCGTCGTCCACTTATTTGTAAGTCAATGCAATTGATCTACAAATTTATAATCTACAGATTCATTACAAAAAGTTGATTTGTCTTTGTCCTTTAGTTCTTTATCCTGACTATATCTTCGTATTCCTTCTTTCCGTCTGACCTTGTTTCGGATTTAAGAGTAACATTGTATTTTAAAAACATAATGTTTGATGGATGAAGACCAATTTCATACTTGAATAATAACTAAATGGTAATTCTTTTAACCAAGAATTTGAAAAAATAGTAAATTTTGTTCGGAAGTTTGAATTTATTAGATATTAAATGCTCGAGTCTAAATTAAAAAATAGAAATCTTTTATTTTACTATTCCCAAGAGATATGTATTACTTATATAAACGGTTACAAAGAGCTTCAATTAAAGGTAGCGACTTGGGATCTCGAACAGTCTTAATGTGCCGTTAATAGGATTTATGCGGGCGGAATTCACAACTGTATAAACGGTAATAAACAGAAGCCATAAACACAACACGAAATCTAGAATGTTCTCTTTTTTATATAGAAGTAATAAAGTATTTTTATAAACGTGAAGTGATGGAACGAACAAGTCGTGCACCTGATGGTAGGCTACACGCCTGTCCGTAACAGTTACAGTGCCACTCAGAGCTTTAAATTGCAAATATCTGAGGGGCACTACTACTGCGCCCGTCACCCTGAAACTTGTATTGACAAGTCCCATGTGCCAGTAATTTCACTTCAAATGTTCAAAGTCTTCGTAAACCAATGACATCTGCTGACGGGTCCTGTGCCAGCATTGATCATAAATGTTTCAGGATGCTGTTGGCACTGCCACGCTTTTGCAGTGTTCCAGGAATATTCGAGGAGGCGCGTACTGACAACTTCAGTGCAGTAATACGCAAGAGACTGCCTTCCTAGTGCGTTGCGTGCGTGATAGTCCCAACACACAACACAATTGCCAACTATTCTAAACAAGGGCAGGCACTAAATCACCTTCTGTTTATTTGTAGACAGATAATATAAAGACCCGATAACAATTAAATAAAGTACTTACAAGCTTGAACATTTTGTTTGTTAAGGGAATGTGCGTCAAACACTGATCAAGCGTGATCGGTACTCGCTATTTTATAAGGAGTCCATGATGACCCCTATAGTATTGTATTGGCATCGATTCGGCGACTGCGCGCCTTGGCAGGACGTGCGCGATCCTGAACGCGACTTGAATAGCTATTACTACTACAGAGTGAGTTATATCGTATAGTTTATATCGTTTGAAGATTTGAATAATACTCGTATAACTTTTAATAAAAAATACCAAGTGACGGGCCGAACAAGTCGTAAGTCGCATATGTCTGTCTATGGCAGTTGTAGTGCCATTCAGAGCTTTAAATCTCAAAGATCTGAGGGGCAGTGCCGTTGCACTCGTCATTTGAGCCATAAATGTGCCTCTATTTTCACCAGCATCTTTATACCCTTCAAAAGCGGAACGCAGTAATGCTCACACATTACTGCTTGGCGGCAGAAATAGGTAAAGTGGGATTACTTCCCTGGACGAAATCTTTCACAAGGAGCTCTACTGCTACGAAACGTACAGTAATGGAATGTTATCTTAATGTCAGTAAGTATCTGTTTTCAATTATTCTCGCATAAGCCACAATTGTACTTGAAATTATATTTACTTTTATTTTTTGTTTATGTTTCTTATACTACAAATGTTCACTTGTAAGTGCGTATCAGGAATCAGGAAACAAAAAAAAGAGAATAAAAAACCAAATGCTAAAATTGCATTATTCAGTTATGCCAATGAATACCTAATACAAAATAAACAATTTGTGCAGATAAGCCAATTTAACACAACAGCTAGACCGCCAGCCAGACTTTGTTTGGTAAATCCAATCGTAATATATTATGGCATGCATTTAAGTGATCATTTTAAATTTGAAAAAGCAGCAGGCAAGAAAATCTAAATGGTCTTTTTTTTAGTGATTAATCATCTTTCTTGGAGACATAAAATAAATTAAATCAATGGATATTATAATCTGTTGTGAGCTACGCAAAAAAGATTTGATTTGTAGAAATTAACTTTGATAGTTTTATGTTCGGCCTCAAAACTAAGACAAATGAGCATTGAAAATAAAAGTAAGATACTTATTTTTAAAACTAATTAATTGTTGATTAAATTAGTATAATAATATAATATTAATTATAATATAATTTGACCTGAAAACATGTTCGGAAACGCAACCAAATTCTTCTGGCACTCGCCGGCCGCTGCCGCGACACGCTCACTTCGTTCGTTCGGCACGTGCTGCTTATTCATATACTAGCCTATTGAAAAGTAGGTGCGACAAAGCAACTAAGATTTATTAGGAGACATCAATATCAGTATCAAAAAATATACTGCATATAATTGTCATCAATGGTTAGAAGAAAAGACCGATAATAAACAAGGGGATCCAATGTTATTTTTGAAAACCAAATACTCATTTAGTATGTTTAAATATAATAATAGTGTGTTACCTTGAATACGTTCATTTATAATTTATCCGTAGATCAACATGTAGATTTAACAATTAATATAAATACAAAACATTAAAAAAAATTCGTTTATTTAACAAAGTGCACATTTACAATAGATCAATTATATCCTTGAGGATCAAATAACATTATCCCTTTTAAAACTAATTCGTTCTAATATCTGCCCACATTCCTGTTGCCCCAAATATAT